GCCCAAAGTCAAATCTGAGCTGAAATTTCCTGTGCTCAGCGTGAAGCAGAGAAGGGAAAAACAATCTTTGTTCACCTTTTGGGTCAGGAAAACTGCTCAGGAGGTTTCCTTGGGATCAGGACACCAGTGGGTACATGGACACCTTTCCCTCAGGATCCTCACACCAACAAAAATGCTGGAGGGAGGGGAACATCTCCCTGCTGAGGAAAGGCTGAGGGAGCTGGGGCTGTTGGGCTTGGAGAAGAGGAGACTGAGGGGCCACCTCATCCATGGGCACAAATCTGTTCAGGGCAGTGGATCCCGTGTGTGTCCTGGGCTGTCCTGGGATCCAGGGATCCCGTGTGTGTCCTGGGATGTCCTGGGATCCAGGGATCCCGTGTGTGTCCTGGGATGTCCTGGGATCCAGGGATCCCGTGTGTGTCCTGGGATGTCCTGGGATCCAGGGATCCCGTGTGTGTCCTGGGATGTCCTGGGATCCAGGGATCCCGTGTGTGTCCTGGGATGTCCTGGGATCCAGGGATCCCGTGTGTGTCCTGGGATGTCCTGGGATCCAGGGATCCCGTGTGTGTCCTGGGATGTCCTGGGATCCAGGGATCCCGTGTGTGTCCTGGGATGTCCTGGGATCCAGGGATCCCGTGTGTGTCCTGGGATGTCCTGGGATCCAGGGATCCCGTGTGTGTCCTGGGATGTCCTGGGATCCAGGGATCCCGTGTGTGTCCTGGGATGTCCTGGGATCCAGGGATCCCGTGTGTGTCCTGGGATGTCCTGGGATCCAGGGATCCCGTGTGTGTCCTGGGATGTCCTGGGATCCAGGGATCCCGTGTGTGTCCTGGGATGTCCTGGGATCCAGGGATCCCGTGTGTGTCCTGGGATGTCCTGGGATCCAGGGATCCCGTGTGTGTCCTGGGATGTCCTGGGATCCAGGGATCCCGTGTGTGTCCTGGGATGTCCTGGGATCCAGGGATCCCGTGTGTGTCCTGGGATGTCCTGGGATCCAGGGATCCCGTGTGTGTCCTGGGATGTCCTGGGATCCAGGGATCCCGTGTGTGTCCTGGGATGTCCTGGGATCCAGGGATCCCGTGTGTGTCCTGGGATGTCCTGGGATCCAGGGATCCCGTGTGTGTCCTGGGATGTCCTGGGATCCAGGGATCCCGTGTGTGTCCTGGGATGTCCTGGGATCCAGGGATCCCGTGTGTGTCCTGGGATGTCCTGGGATCCAGGGATCCCGTGTGTGTCCTGGGATGTCCTGGGATCCAGGGATCCCGTGTGTGTCCTGGGATGTCCTGGGATCCAGGGATCCCGTGTGTGTCCTGGGATGTCCTGGGATCCAGGGATCCCGTGTGTGTCCTGGGATGTCCTGGGATCCAGCCCCTCTCCCCTCTCTTCCAGAGTGAGTCTTTCCAGAGCTGTTTTCCTGGGTCACAGAGTCACAACATGTGAGGAACAGGCAGAATCCATGTCCAAAGGGTGTTTTAAATCAGGTGCTGTTGCTGCAGCACTGAGCAAATCCAGCTCTCCCAGCACCCCTCCAGGCAGGAGGAGCTGGTGCTGCTGGGATCCTGGGACACACGATTCCCTGTGCCCAGGCTGAGGGATCCTGGGACACTGGATTCCCTGTGCCCAGGCTGAGGGATCCTGGGACACAATTCCCTGTGCCCAGGCTGAGGGATCCTGGGACACCATTCCCTGTGCCCAGGCTGAGGGATCCTGGGACACTGGATTCCCTGTGCCCAGGCTGAGGGATCCTGGGACACTGGATTCCCTGTGCCCAGGCTGGGATCCTGGGACACTCGATTCCCTGTGCCCAGGCTGAGGGATCCTGGGACACTGGATTCCCTGTGCCCAGGCTGAGGGATCCTGGGACACAATTCCCTGTGCCCAGGCTGAGGGATCCTGGGACACTGGATTCCCTGTGCCCAGGCTGAGGGATCCCCTGAGCCTTCCTGGTACTACCCAAGCTCTGCACAAACCCAAGTGGGTAAACAGAGGCAGCAACACTTTTGCCTTCTCTTGGGGACTGTTACTAAAGACAGTGAACAAGTTCAGTCTAAAAGCCCAAACTACCTATTTTGGGAGCATTTTTTCCCCTTTTTGGCTTTTTCTTTTGCTGTGTTGATCTGCTCAGCAGGAGAGAAACCTCCTCAAGTGAGTGACCCACACCAACATTCCAGGTGTGGAATCCTTGCTGTGAGAACTGCAGGAGGCTCCAGATGCAATGAGGTTTATCCACAAGAGAGTTCCCTGCTGGGATTGCCAACAGTGAGTGGCTGCTCCTGCCTGATTCCCATGAAAATGTGTCATTTGGCACAAATTCTGGTTTTGTTCTTCAGTTCTGCCCACCTTCAGCAGCCTGTGATCAACTCCTGCCCTCCCAGCACAGCCAGCCCAGCCTTGGGGGTTGGTTTTTTGGATTAAAAATGAGTATTTTTGAATGAAGAGAAGCATCCCTGGGAATCTCTCTTTGAAATAATATCATGGATTTGCTTGCTTGAATAGCATGAATTCATATTTTGAGGATTTAAACGTTTTTTATAGGCAGTTCCTTGCATTTAAAAAAAAGCCCAGTTGCTCTTCCTGAGGGCAACTTCTCAGCATCCCTGTCATCTCCAACCTTGTATTTACAGGCTGTAAATTGTCAGTCAGTTGCTGGATCTGCCAAAAAAATGTTCTGTAATTTAGTTCACATTCCTTGGCTTGTCTTCTGTTGATTCCAGACACTGTTTTCTCTGCTTTAGGACACTGCTGCTTGCAGTGGGTGGACACAGGGGGGTGTATGGGGCAGATATAGACAAAAAGAAATAGATATTTATAGGATGGGGAGGCCCTGGAACAGTTTCCCAGAGAAGCTGTGGCTGCCCCATCCCTGGCAGTGTTGAAGGGCAGGTTGGATGGGGCTTGGAGCAGCCTGGGCTGGTGGGAGGTGTCCCTGCCCATGGCAGGGGTGGGTCTGGATGATCTTTAAGGTCCCTTCTAACCCAACCCATCCCATGATTCTATAAAATAAATCCAGGTACATGTAAGATGTGGGTTTCTCTGCCCAGAGAAAAGCCTCCCCAAATGCAGGCAGGCAAAGGTCACTTCTAACCACCAACCTTGTTCAGCTCCCAGCAAACGACCTGAACTTCCTCAGCCAGTGAGATGAACGAGCACTGACAGCAGGTGTTTTCCTTTTGAAGGTTGAACAGCTCAAGGAGGAGATCTGTGAGTACCAGAAGGCTGAGAAGCAAGGACTTGCTGTGCCTGTGCCAGCTGAGGCTGAGGAGCTCCCAGTGCCCTCCCTGCAGGTGCTGCCAGGGGTTCTGTTTGTCCTGCTAGAAGCACTGGGAGCAAATGGGAACCCCCTCCACGTCAGCCCCTGCTGCCAGTGAGACACAGGCTGGTGGTGCAGAGACACTGGTGTGTTCTCTCCTGTGTCCCTTGTGCTGGGCTGAGGAGCTCACTGGGGTTGGCAGCAGGTCTGCTGGGGGGAGCTGATGCCTTCACCATCCTGGGGGGCTCGGGGGGCTTTTCTCCTGTGCTCCAGGGAGACCTGGTTGCAACATAAAAGGAGGGTTACAGGAAAGATGAGGGTGGACTTTTGTAGCAACAGGACAAGGGGGTGATGGTTTTAAACAAAACGAGGGGAGATTCAGGCTGGATTGAAGTGAGAAATGTTTTATGCTGAGGTTGCAGGATGCCCAGAGAGGTGGTTGGTGCCCCATCATTGGAAACATTCCAGGTCAGGCTGGACAGGGCTCTGAGCAACCTGATCTGGTTGAGGATGCCCCTGCCTGAGCAGGTGGGTTGGAGTAGATGAGACTTTCCAGGTCCCTCCCAACCAAAACTATTCTGTGACTCTATGATGAGCTGATGCAGACAGGGCAGCAGATGTAGCTCATGATTTCTTGGTGTCTTGTTTATTTAGGAGAGGCTCAGGCAGCTTTGGAATCACATTGAGCTGAAATTTCAGTCTTCACCAGTGCTGACTTCCCATTTTCTCTTCAGTCACAGGTCACCAAGGGTGAAGGAGACCAGGATCCAAGCAGAGATGGCTCAGATCAGGAAGGCAGAGCCCAGAGTGCTGAAACACTTCCTAAGAAGTGAGCAATGCAGAAACCCTTCCTCATCTGTTGCATTTTCACTGTTTGCTGCTGCTCTGCCTTGGAGTGCAGTTCCATGTTGGGTTATCCAGGATCCTTCTTGGGGCCTGTTTTGTTCCTCTGCTCTCAGCCCAGAAAGTGCTGCAGTCCTGGGTGGGTTTGTAGCCCTTTTTTGTCAAGAGCACAGGCTGCTTCCTGGCACTTTCTCCAGGTTGTTGCTTTCCTAAAAGAACAGGCTTGGGCTTTTATTTTTGGTTCTCTGCAGACAAAAGGGTTGTTTTCAAAATTGTTCTGTTGCTGGGCAGGTTTCCTCTGGCTTTGGTTGCTGTCCAGGCTGTACCAGAACACTTGGCTTTCAAACTTTTAAATAGATAAACTGGTATTTTTAAGGCAGGTCAAAGCTTTGTTCTCCTGTGACCTGCTCAGGAAGCTGCTGCTGAGGCTCTTCTGGCAGGTTCAAGGAGGAAGGGGGGTCTGATCCCACCCCTCTGCCTCTTCTTTCCTTCACCTGCCCAAGTCTGTTCCTTCACCTCAACCCCAGGATTTGCCATCACCCTCCTGCTGCTGGAAACCTCTTGTCTCACCAGTTTTCTCCCCAGACCTTCATGGTTACTTGTGTAGAGACCCTCACCAAGAATTCATAAGATCCCAGACTGGTTTGGGTTGGAAAGGACCTGAAAGATCATCCAGTTCCAACCCCCCTGCATGGGCAGGGACACCTCCCACCAGCCCAGGTTGCTCCAAGCCCCATCCAACCTGCCCTTCAACACTGCCAGGGATGGGGCAGCCACAGCTTCCCTGGGCAACCTGGGCCAGGCTCTCACCACCCTCACAGCACAGAATTTCCTCCTCATGTCCAACCTCAATCTCGCCTCTTCCAGTTTCAATCCATCCCCCTCATCCCATCCCTCCCTGCCCTTGTCCCAAGTCCCTCCCCAGCTTTCCTGGAGCCCCTTCAGGCACTGGAAGCTGCTCTAAGGTCTCCCTTCCATGCATCCCCTGCATCCCCACCTAAACAAGAGCAGGCACAGGTGGGGCTGGATCCAAGACTTGAAATGAGCAGAAAAATTCCACAGTGGAAAACACTTTGGCTCTTCCCCACCAGTGAGAAGTGACCTGGGGAGGGTGAATGGAGCTGAGCAGTTCCAGCCTTGCTGATGTTGGTCTCTGGGATGCAGGTGCCAAGAGGTGATGGATGACCCAGAGGGCAGGAATTCCCAGCTCCTGCCCGAGCTGCACAGGCTGGAGCTGGAGCAGGAGGAGCTGGCTGAGGACAGTGAAGAGCTGAAATCCATCCTGGGAGAGACACAGAACCAAACCAAGCAGGAGAAGGAAGAGTTTGAGAGGGAGGGAGAGGGACTTCACCAGAAGGTAAGTAAGGAATGGAAGAAATGCAGTTTGGGTTGGTTTCATTCTGGTTGCTTTTCTCTCTCCATGTTGATTATAAAGTGACATTATTTATAGTCCTGTTCTTTGAAAGGAAGAAGTCAGAGAGTTGTGGTCAGTGGGACAGGATCCAGTTGGGGGTCTGTGAGCAGTGGGGCCCCTCAGGGGTGGGTCCTGGGACCAGTGCTGTTCAACATCTTCATCAAGGACCTGGGTGAGGGAACAGAGTGTGCCCTCAGCAAGTTTGGTGACACCAAACTGGGAGGAGTGGCTGACACACCAGGGGCTGTGCTGCCATTCCGGGAGACCTGGGCAGGATGGAGAGCTGGGGGGGAGAAAACTGATGAAAGTCGCCAAGGG